GAAATATGGCGCATTTCTTCTCTCAGACTCTCTTTTCTTCCCCTCGTGCCAAAACTGATAATTATGGAAATTCCAGAGCTAGGATACTTGGGCAGAGTTTTCAATGTTTACTCCATAGTAGTCAGACATTTCTCCTAGGAAAAGCTGGATTCTGATGGCAGAAAGATTGACCAAAAAAACAATCATGAAACATTTTTGAGGCCTCAGTATCACGGTCTTGTCAGTAAAGCGACATTCTCTGATTAAATCCAGATTGAGCTGTTTCCTGTTAGTGTGCTAACCCACAGGGCAGACTCCACCCCCAGTGTCTTGCTTTCTAAGTCTGGGTTATTCATCACTTGCCTGCCAATGGTTTCACCCTTTATTGGTTTAAAGTTTATTCAAAGTTATTCAGAAAATACAAACAAAAATAGGTCCTAACATCTCTTAGAAGGATTATAGACCTGTTGACTTTTTGACTACAAAAATAAAGTTTTAGCATCTTGGCATCTTCAGTCTGGTCCTATAGTACAGGGTTCTTCTTTATTATTATTTTTTGTAATGTTTCCCTTCTGTACAATTTCAACATAATTCCAGTAGTAAGCAGGTAACTCTGAGTTTTTGTTTCATAAACATGTACCCTATTTGAATGTTGGTAAATTAGTACTCATCTTGAAAAACCTTATCTTAGGGTCACCAGATTGCGTAGTAGTTACATCGTTGGACTCCCATGTGGTTGACCGCAGTTCAGGTTCCTGACCTGGTAACTTGAAACTCATGTCAGGTTCTATGTGTGCATGCCCAAGATCCTGGGAGAAGAATGGAGGAGAAGGGATTGTGGTGTGGCCACTTTCCCTCTCACTGTCTTTCTCTCTGGCCAGCATACGTATCCAAAGGCAAAACCTCTTTTTTTTTTTGGAGAGGTTTTTGCTATAGGGTGCGTGCGCTCGCCAGAAAGAGACAGACAGAAAGTGAGAAATCACCTGCTGGAGGGATGGCCATGCTGCAATCCCTTTTCCTCTCAGGATCTTGGGCACGTACGCACACGCGCCCGGCGTGAGTTTAAGCCACGGGGTCCTGGACTTGAATGGTGGTCGAACACATGGGAGTCTAGCGGCATAGCTATTACACCATCTGCTGGTCCCATGGGCAAAACCTCTGAAAGAAAGAAAGAGAGAAAGAAAGACCTTATTTTCCCCTTGACGTAGCAACAAGATATTGTTATTAGTACATCTAGCAAATCTATAGGAAATGACATTAAGCAAATGCTCTGATACCTTAATCTGCATTGTTAATTTTCCTGAGAAGGACTTTAGGCATAAGACCAATTTTATACTTCATTTTATGATACTGCCCTTGTTGGCCACTTACTGTATTTAGAGAAGATTTTTTTTTTTTAAAGAGAAATTTTTGCTATAGGGTGCATGCACTTGCTGGAGAGACAGAGAGAGACAGACCGAGAAAAGGTGAGAAATCACTTCCCAGCGAGGATGGCCACACCGAAATCCTTTCTTCCCGTCTTTCTCTCAGGATTTTGGGCCCACACGCACACGTACCTGGTGTGAGTTTCAGTCACCAGATTCAGGACTGGAACCATGGTCGGCCATGTGGGAGTCCAGTGCCTTTACCACTATGCCTTTAAAACCTATATATTCTAGAAGCTAGATAGTGGTGCAGCAGTAAAATGCAGTGCTTTGACCACATGGGAAGGTTCCAGGTTTGCATCTGGAGACCTCCCTCTATACCCCAGACATGCATGTGCCCGTGACCCAGGCCTGGCTGAAGCTGGGGGTATACTGGGGGTGCTGTCTCTATGTCTCAGTCTCTCTGTCTCATTTATGGGAGCAGTAACTAAGTAAACTTTTTGGAAAATCTAGATACTCAAAGTATTTTACTAGCCATTCTGTTAGGTCCTATGTAGTTCTTCCTAATACACAGATGCAAACACTGAGGTACAAAAACATGTAAAGGGACTTCTGGGAATCAGATATGCATATTGAGTTTTTTCCAGAGCAAAAGGACTGAAAGGAAGCGACTGGGTTAATGAGAAATGCAATTCCATTCCCAAGAGAGAACTGTGGCTTCCTGCCAAATCTGCTCTCTGGCAGGAAAAGGGACCGACTTCATCAGGTCCTTTGACAAGCATTTTTCTCTGTTTGAATATTTGGCCACATCAATACTCGTGAAAAATGTGTTCTTTTAAATAGCCATACTTTCAATAAGAAAGATTTTGTTTTGAAGTGGAATTTGCATCGTAAGTAAAATAAGAATCATCAAATTACAAAAATTGTTTGGTAAGGGATCCCTGACATTTTCACAAGGTATGTTAGCTTGATTTAGAATTGGAGCTCAAAAGTCCCTGATGTTTGAGAAGCCATTCATTTTGTCATTGTTAACATTTGACACTGAAAGATATTTTTTAACTGCTACTTTTTAATACTATGTATGGTGATAATTATTCTAGCCAGGCTTTTTTAAACAATAATAAACACCAAACAACTCTATATTTCAGTATTAAGAAAGAGATCAAAGGGATATAGAAGTTTGAAGATAGAAGTTAACATTGTATTTTGTAATATCTTGATTTTTCTCTCTTTAAATGAAATGTAGGTAATGTGAATTAAATTTTAAATGCATTATGGTGATTCACTAAGCCAACAGTTTCCAAAGTATTTTTATTCTAAAGTTCTGCAAGATGCTCCGAGAATAAAAGGAAATACATTTGGAAATGTCATATGCCATATCCTTCTCTTGGAGTTAGTAACACATGTGAGCATATTAAAGACTTCAAGAAAATTCTGTGGTAAAGATACATCTTTGGCTTTGTTAAGCTTTGTCGTTGCCAAACTTGACCACAGGACCAACCTTCTTTTTTTGGGAGCAGTGTTTTATAGCACACACTTAAAGCAACACCGTACCAAGTAATTAAAAATGTAATTAGAGTTGGAAACTATATATCTTGTTCACTTACTGTTTCTGGTTAAAGTTAATTGGAGCTTCTGGGAAACAGATGGTACTACTGGGATTGTCCTGAAACTACATGTGCAGTGATGAAGAGCAGTTAGTAGGCCGCGATCTGAGCCAACAGTCCTGAGAGGCCTAAAGCAACATTTGGTATTTCACCTGAACCAGAGCCCCCCCCCCTTAGAAAATTTTCACAAATTAAATAAGAAATAAAAGCCACCACCACCCAAGCTGGAGTCTGTTTTAATTCCTGGTAGCAGTTAGATGGGATGACCTTAAGCCATTCTAACCACTTCGGAAAGCAGTGCTACCACGTCCATCTTCCTGAAAACAGTCCCTTGATTAATCTCCCCCATAGTTTTCTGACAGATCAAATGGAACAACAATCATGCTACTTAGAAGCACAATAGGGGACCAGCAGTTAGCGCAATGGCTATGTCGCTGGACTCCCACGTAGTTGACCACGGTTCGAGTCCCGGACCCGGTGGCTTATACTCTTGCCGGGTGCGTGTGCATGCGTGCCCAAGATCCCGAGAGGAGAATGGAGGAGAAGGGATTGTGAAGTGGTCATCCCCCCTGGGGGGTGATTTCTCACTTTCTGTCTCTCTGTCTCTCTCTCTCTGGCGAGCTCACGCGCCCTATAGCAAAAACCTCTCAAAAAAAAAAAAAGCACAATAGAATCATGAGAAATTTATTTCTCTCTTTTTTGTCCTTCTTTAGTTTTCACATTTGGTTAGTTTAAGAAAACTCTATATAAAACAAGTCAACTTATTTTTCAAGCTTATTTTTATTTATTTCTGATATTTATTTCTGAGAGAGAGAGAGAGAGAGAGAGAAAGAGAGAGATGCCCTTAACAGTTTAACAGTGTCTCATCCAGTCTCAATCCTCCCCCAGCCTTTCAGCCAGCCAAGATCATAGGCACATGGAGGCCTGACAGATTCTGCGCCAGTGCGGCTGGGCCCAATTAAACTTGTGATTCAGATAAACTGCCTGGTGATTATTTGCGTCACTTGGAATAATTATTGGCCTTAGAAAGAGATTTATTACAGAACTCCTCTCAGTAGCCAGTTTCCTTAGTGCCTGTGAAGAACACATTAAACTTTGAAAATTGCACCTCTATATGATTTGTTAGGCACTGATTTATTGCGGAATGTACACCACACCTTTATTTTTTCTTCAGTTTAGTTTTCTTTCCTCATACTCAGTTTTTAAGCTTTATGAATTTTATCACCAATCAATTTTGCATATTGTAGTGTGTAGTGTGTATCTATCAAGGTCTAATTATACCTGCCAATATGATTTACAGTTTCGTTTTCATGTGATAGCTACTTCTCTTGAGTAATGTCTTCTCCGTACTTCACAAGTTTCCAGAAGGCAGGGTCATGCACTTAGTGACCCTTCTATTACTCCCCAGAGGTGAACCCCGTGCTGCCTGGTACAGTGGTACAGCAGTTTCTCAGTCAACTCCATGGATTGCTGCAGATACTGAGTCAGAATGTACATTGCCTTCTGTGGACTGAACTGATATCAGATCATGGTCAGATCTCCATCAATTTCCAGGGAGAACATTCTCCTTCCATGGCCAATTTTTCAAACTGATGTCATTTTTAGCATGATGTCAGTTGGCTCACACAAATCCTAAATATCTATCAATCAACCCTCCAAAGCTAGAAGACTTTCTGTGGAACAACACAAAGGGAATAACTGATAATATTTGCTGAACTCTAGGGTCATAGAAAACATCCTTAATAAAACATGCCAGCAATACAGTTCTTGATAGGGGAGTAAATAGAAGCAAATATAACCTCAAGGAAGTAATACATCTGTTTCTAGAGTAAGGGAACGCTTGCATGCATGTGTATACACACACCTCCTTCCCCACTGCCTCCACTCTACCACACTAAACTCCCAGGAGACAGCATTGCTTTACATGACTTGTAGAATTAAATAAGAGAGAGAGGAAACATGGCAGACTATGGCTTCAACCATTTCAGTGTTTCCAATTTTACTTCAGAGAGCCATTTCTCCTGATGATAATCATTAATTTACTGTACAGGTTGAAGGGGATCAGCTGCCTCCAGGACATACAGTCAGTCAATATGAGACCTGTAAGATCAGGACCATAAAGGCCGGCACCTTGGAGAAGCTTGTGGAGAACCTACTGACAGCTTTTGGGGACAATGACTTTACCTATATCAGCATCTTCCTGTCAACGTACAGAGGCTTTGCCTCCACTAAAGAAGTGCTGGAACTGCTGCTGGACAGGTAAGAGTCTAAAGGAATTCGAGAGTTGATGAAAATGGAAGGCTGTTTGAAGAGTGAAGAGCCTAAGGTTTTGAATCATCTGCATTCACTATGCTGAGGGCAGTGGGTGAGGAAAGATGAACTGGAAGGAATGACCTTTGCAACAAATGCCATGAGATTATTCTGGAGCCATTTGGGGTCTGTTTCTGGGGGAAATAATGTCATTTCAAAAATCTGTAAAAGAGTTGGGAAGAAGATACCATAAATGAGATGAAATTTATAGATACTATAAATTTGGGATCAAATTATTTATAGATTTCAATTTACTAACTTCAATCTTTCTATATTTTCATAATTTATTTATAATTCCAGTAAATAATCAATTGACTGGGAATGATATTGGTTGTTGTAGGGATTAAAGGTGCTAATATGGGGCCAGCCAGTGGTATGGTGCCTAAATTGTCTGGATTCCACATGGCTGACTGTACCAGTTCAAGTCCTAGACCTAGTGACCTGAAAACGTGCCAGGCACATGGGCATATGTGCCCAAAATCCAAAGAGGAGAAGGGATTGTGGTGTGGTCATCTTCCCTGGTGAGGGGGGGGGGTGATTTCTCATTTTCTCTCTCTAGTGAGCTCATGTGTCCTGTTGCAAATTAAAAAAAAAAAAAAGGTGCTAATATGTGCAAAGTGTGGAGCTCAGTCTTAGACCCATAAGAAGCAACTAATGAATGGTGGCTATTGATGATGATGATGGCTATTAGTAATCATCATGTATGGATTTACTGTTACATTTCTGGATACGCACAGAACGATCTTCCTTGATCCACATTGTTAAGGTGCATGCTGTATAGGTAGAGTAATTCACACATTGATAATACATGATTTTACTTTTGCTTCGTTCAACATTAAACTTGGTCTTTTTAGAAAAATCGCATGCTGTATAGGAAGAGTACCATACATTGTAATTCACACATTGATAATGCATGATTTTACTTTTGCTTCATTCAACATTAAACTTGGTCTTTTTAGAAAAATACCATTGAGTTAATTTGATATGGGGAGGAAGAAAACTGTCGGCCAGACAATTGTTTTGGAATCATGAGAATCCTCATCCAAATGCTTATATTCTGTCTTTTCCTGTTTATGGAAGGAAATGAGATAGGGTGTTTTTGTTGGTTTTTTTGAATATTGATTTTTGTTAACTAGATTTTTAAAATTTTGAAGGTAATTTGCGCTTATGTTAAAAATTCTTATACAGGAGCTGGCAGGTGGTGTGGTGGTTGGGGGGCTGGACTCCCACATGTTGAGCCTGGTTCGAGTCTTAGACCTGGTGGCTTGCTTTCTCACTTTCCATCTCTAGTCAAATGAAAACTAATTATAATAAATAAATTAAATACAATAATTCTTTAAAAAGGAAATAAAAAATAAAAATTCTTACATTATGGACAAGCATAAAAAGTATTCTCTTTGCTACTTTTACCCCAAATATCATTTATTAGGTTTTTAAAAATATGTAATTGCTGAAAGAAGAAAATGAAATAAACTACATACAGTCTGAGCAGATAATGCATATTAACATTATATAAATAGAAGTAATTAATTTATATTTAGAAAAGTTCAAACAATTGAGAAACTTATAACAATAAAAAGTAAAAAGTGTCTTGTTCCCAAGTTACCTATGTTTTTCTGGAGGTATATAAATGTGTCTATGTATGCACGTATGCACATATACATACACATGTATGTATTATGTATTGCTTATATAAATTTATCATATTATACATACTTATACATAGTCCAAACAGAACACAATCTATTCTGCAGTCTTTATTTATCCATATATCTTAGAGGTTTTTTACTCAAAGTGAATTAACATATAAAAAAGGTTTAGATCAGCAGCTGGCATACTGAAAATTTAAGAAGTGTAAGTTGTGTTTTTTTTTTTTCCCAAAACTAGCACTTATAGATGGACCTACTATAATCTATTTAATGGCATTATGGTATTTATTAAATGGAATACCCATCTCTCTCCAGTTTTTTAATTTGTTTTTAAATTTTGTAAGCTACTGCAAAAAAATGTCTTTGAATATGTATGAGTATTTGAGAATTATTTTTTAAGGGTAATTTTTCATATTTTATTTGTTATTATTATTTTTCTTTTTTAGAGTGAGACAAAGAGAGAGAGAAAGGGAAAGTGAGAAAGCAAACCGCCAGGTTTAGGACTCAAACCGTGGTTGGCCATCTGGGAGTCCAGCATCTTAACCACTGTGCCACCTGCCAGTACCAAGTATTTGAGAATTCTATAGGATAATTTTATAGAAGAATGACAGATCAAAATATATGAACATTTAAAGATTTGAAAGATCTTACCATATTGCCGTCCAAAAGGCTGCACATCAACTCTGCTCCTATATCTGGGGAATGAGAATGCCCATTTCCTCATTTTTCCCACACCTTTGCCAACTGTGGGCATTTCATCTCCATCTTTACCACAATCTGACTTCTGAAAAAGGGAAGCCTATTGTTTTTGAACTTAAACTTCTTAGACCTAAAAGTGAGGTTTATCATCTTCCTATATCCGGGGAATGAGAATGCCCATTTCATTTTTCCCACACCTTTGCCAACTGTGGGCATTTCATCTCCATCTTTACCACAATCTGACTTCTGAAAAAGGGAAGCCTATTGTTTTTGAACTTAAACTTCTTAGACCTAAAAGTGAGGTTTATCATCTTTTTTAAAAAAATGTATTTATGAGACCAGCTGTTAGCGTAATGACTATGTCGCTGAATTCCCATGTAGTCAACTGCGGTTCAAGTCCCGGACTTGGTGGCTTAAACTCACTCCGGGTGTGTGTGCGTGTGTGCCCAAGATCCTGAGAGGAGAATAGAGGAGAAGGGGTTGCGGCATGGCCATCCTCCCTGTGGGGTGATTTCTCGCTTTCTGTCTCTCTGTCTCTCTCTGGTGAGCGCACGCCCCCTGTAGCAAAAGCCTCTCCAAAAAAAAAAAAAAGTATTTATCTCATGAGAGAATGATAAAGAGAGAAAAGGAGAGAAAGAGAAAAGAATCGATTTCCTATCTTAATCCTCTCCAACCTTCCCAGCCAGTCAGGATCAGGGGCATACGCATGTGTATCTGGCATGTACAGGTTGACTCAGCAATCAAACCCTAGTGTTCCACATGGCTTCCAGCATTACATAGTGTCATGCTACAGCTGTGTCACTGTGACTGGGCCTTAATATTTTTTAAAGTACTTATTGGCCAGGCCAGCAGTTGTCATGGTGGTTAAGGTACTATATTCCCACATGGCGACCATGGTTCTAGTCCCAGACCTGACGGTTTGAAAATCACAACAAAGGACCAACAGGTGGCATAATGGTTATGTTGTTAGACTCCCACATAGTCAACTGCAGTTTGAGCCCTGAACCCAGTGGCTAGAAACTCATGCTGGGTGTGTGCATGTGCATGCCTAAAAGCTTGAGAAGAGAATGATGGAGAAGGATTGTGGCATGGCCATCCCCCTTGAGGGATAATTTCTTGCTCTCTGTCTCTCCAGTGAGTGCATGTGCCCTATAGCAAAATTCTCTCTCTAAAAAAAAAATAATAAAAGAGAGAGAGGAAAACCACAGCAAATAAATAGATAGAGAAATACTTATTTTTAAGTACTTCCTGGCCATTTGTGTATTTTTTTTTCCCCCTTGCATGTGTTTACTGTCTGGAGATACTTATTTTTAAGTACTTACTGGCCATTTGTGTATTTTTTTTCCCCCTTGCATGTGTTTACTGTCTTTTAAAATCTTTTGCCTATTTTCTTTTGGATTATTTCCACTGAATTATTGATGATCTAATTATAACTCTTTGTATATTAAGAAACTTAGTATTTTGCTTATCATATGTTAGAGAATTTTTTTTTCTAATTTTCCCCTTGGTTTTGGAAGTTGTTTACTAGTATTCTTCTTTTATGAAGACATTATTTTTTTTTCATGTTGTCATATCAGTCAGTCCTAAGACAGGCCTTCAGTGACCAAGTCCTACTCCAGTGTAAGTAAAGGTACTGATAATGGTGTTTTGTTTTTTTTTCCCTCAAGATAGTTTTGTGATAGGTGTATATAGAGTGAAATTATTTAGATTGATGGTTCTTTGTGTTTATATTCAAGAACAGTCACAAAATATCGGGTCTCTATCACACATTGAGCTGGTTATGATACTCCGGGATACAACATGGATAGGAAGTTCTGTAGTTTTTGCATGACAGTATTTGCCATGCAAATATTAGACCAATAGTATAAATCCTTAGGATTAGTGAGTCATTTCTTTCACAATTTGTCTGCTTGTCTAATAGCTCCTACCTCTGAATAGAAATTGAGGAATTATATGAATTTTTTCATTTTTGATATTTCATATTTATGTAAAAATGCAGTATGCTAACTGTTGGTAGGCAGTAAGGGCAAATAACTCAAAAAATAAAAAAAACTCCTACAAGTTTACTTTGGAATCAGCAACCTCTTCAACTTATGGATGACTCCATTGATAATAGGCTACAGATGTCTAGTCAGTAAAAGAGTGCATGTAAATTCCAGCTGTTCATCCTAAATGGTGGACATACACACAGGAAGTAGAGTGTTTAGTCTATGACTCCTGTACATCCAGCTTCCATGTGGTGATTTCTTTATCTTCTCTTTGTTCTCCTATTATAGTATCATACTTTTTTATTTTAAATATACTAACCGGATGGCTGTTATTAAACAACAAAATCAGTGTGAATTCAAATTGCACTCAATTTGGACTATTGTTTAAGGTACAATGAATGAGTTGGGATTTATTTTGTGCTTATTTATATGGGCTAAGGCTTGGCCTGAATTTTCTCTCACGGTAAAATTTTTTGCTTGCTCCTGGAATAAGTAGAATCAACAAGTATGGAATGCCTATAAAATACTCAGTTGCAAGACACCATACAGGTGTAATTGAGAAACGCAAGACTTGGTCCTTGCCTTGAGAGAGTTTAAAGGTGGATTGACTGTG